TTTGAGACGAGAGATGGAACAGCAAAAAGAGCCCTGTGACATAAGCCAGAAAAATGGTCTTCGAAAGAAATGCCCAGAACTGGAACATCTATCTTGGTTCAAAAGCAAATAAAATTGGCCCTTTGGAAAAGATTTTGATTCAGGCTGTCTTTGCTCTCATCTCTTTCACAAATTCTCGCTTTTTTTCCTGCTTCTGCCGTTCTGCAACTGTTCTGAAGGCCACACCTCCGCGGGCAACCAGGTTTTGCCACACCTTTTCTCACACTGTATGGTACATGACCAACAATTCCTCACATAAAAAGGCATTTTCATTCTGTTTCCTCCTCTTTTATTTTATCTTATTTTTTTCAAGATACTTTCATTTTTAAGTAATCTCTACACCCAACGTGGGGCTTGAACCTGCAACCCTGAGATCAAGAGTCACACACGCTACCGACCAAGCCATCCAGGGGCCCTCTGTTTCTGTTTCTTTTTAAACACAGGTTATTAAAAGCTTTTTTCTTTAAACATAGGTTATCAAAGGCTTTCTTTCTATAAAAAAGTAAATTTTTGTATTTCCATTACAGTGAGCTACCATGTCATAGAAGTTTATAAAATTAATAAACTGTTGCTACCAGCTAATTCTAATATTTAAGATACAGAAATTTTTACTAGTGCTTCATAAAATTACATGCATTTAAAACATAAATTATTTTTATTCCATTATGATAATGTTTATTAGGGCAATTATCAAAATAATCTCATAAATATCAGTGCCATATACCGAATATAAAAATACCCTTTTCTTCTCCCTTACAAAAAATCCAAATTCACGAAAAAAAACTTTCACTAGTTTTAATACAACTCATTTGAGGTACATTTACTATAGTTTTTAAAATAGATTAATTGGGGCACCTGGGTGGCTCAGTCGTTAAGCGCCTGCCTTCGGCTCAGGTCATGATCCCAGGGTCCTGGGATCGAGCCCCGCATCGGGCTCCCTGCTCGGCGGGAAGCCTGCTTCTCCCTCTCCCACTCCCCCTGCTTGTGTTCCTGCTCTCACTATCTCCCTGTCTGTCAAATAAATAAAATCTTTTAAAAATAAATAAATAAATAAGATTAGTTGATTCCAGTGAATCTGGGGAAATTTTTTTTTTAATCTAAGCTTTTCCCTAAACCATTCCACTTAGAGAAGGTTAACTCAAGTTGTCACAGATTTAAACTATTTATCAGGAACGGGAATAGGCATGTTGGGATATTTACCACAGAAGAGAGACGGTAGGTGTGATTGGTCACCACAGGAGTAGTCTGATTTCTGGTTTGTTTGCTTTTATTTCTGGTTTTAAAACCAAATCCAGATATAAGAGGGCATCCAAAGTTCACTTCATTGGCTACCCAAATATACGGTAGTAAATTAAAAGTGGTCTTAAATTATTTTAGCTCTTTCCATCAGGAGAGTCTACTTCCCCACAAGTGAGTCACCTTGTGATTGCTTTGACCAACAGACTGAGGCAGATGGGATGAATGTGGCTCTGAGTTCAGGCTTCAAGAGCCTTGCCACTTTCAGGCCACCCCCCTGGATCTGCTGCTTCCACAGGAGAAAGCTTCTGCTAGCCTCCTGGGGGAAGACAGCATGTGGAGCAAAGACAAGCTCTCTGGGCTACAGTCCCTGATGGGTAATTGTTTGTATCAACCTGACCGACCTCACAGACGCCCAGATAGCTAGTAAAACATGTCTTGGTGTGTCTGTGAGGATGTTTCTGGAAGAGATTAGCATCTGACTCGGTAGATTGAGTGAAGAGATCTGAGCTCACCACTGGGTGCAGGCAGCGTCCAATCTGTTGGAACAAAAAGGGGAAGAAAGGACAGCTTCTCCTTCTTTTTCAGCTGGGACAACCATTCTCCTGCCCTCAGACACTGGAGCTCCTGGTTCTCAGCCTTCAGGCTTGGACTGATTTATACCACCAGCCTCCCTGGCTCTCCAGCTTGAAGATGGCAGACTGTGGGGCTTCTCAGCCTCCGTAACTGCCTGAGCCAATCCCTATAATAAATCTCCTCATGTATATCTACATGTATTCTATTGGTTCTGTTTCTCTGGAGAACCCTGACTGATACACCAACCAACAAGCATGCAGAAGACAACAACTATGTGCATATGCCCCAGGTAAGCAGCAGAAGAAAATGCCCAGCTGAGTTCAGCCTAACTTTATGAAGAACAACAACAAATTTCTCATGTAAGCCCCTAAATTTGAGGGAGGTTTGTGACACATCAACAAGTCAATGAGAGAGGCACCCAGAACCCATTTCATGATGTAACATACCCATTCAGTGAGGAAAACAGCTAGTATAGTTGGGGTTTCACTATCTGGTCTCCTAGCTCACATTTCTACTTCAGTTTTCTGCCTAATTTAGTCCCAATTTATTTCAAATTGGAGCAACTATACTTAACTCCTAGTATCTGCCTCTCCCCCCATTTACTTCCCAAATCAATCCTGCTTCCATGTTACCACCTAAGACAAATACACCTAAGATCCTAATTAAACTTCTCCCTGCCACCACTCTTCCTTTCAACCACACTTCTGCAAATGGGATAGAGTCCTGAGCCTACCCTTCATAACCCTTCATGAGACCCTACCCCAAAGCAGAAAAGGCAGGAGTATTGACCCATTGGTCCCCTTTCCCACTGATCTAGAGTTGCTCCCAGATGTGTTAACCTCCCCTGTGCTTCCAAGCTGGGCATATGCCATAACCTAGAAAGTTCCTTACAGCACCTATAGCCCCAAGGAAATCCTGGGGCATTAGGTGAAGCACTTGAAGGGGAACCTTATCACCTTGAAAGGAGTGGAAGCCTGCATGGAACTGTCCAGGACGGCTACAGCTGAAATCTGAGGGCAGCCAAGCACACGTGAATCACTGTGCCAGCCACACCTGCTATTCTGAGTCTGCAGTCTTATATAAAAGATCTCCTGGGACATCGATGGAGCCCCTGAGGTGGTCATGCAAACTTTGGATCTCCATGAATTACTGAAGCTTCTGCTTTCAGACACTGTTACCTCAATTAAACTGATCTGTGGCCAGGTTGCTCTTTCTAGGACAAACTTACTGCAAGACAACCAGAAACATCTCCATGGAGAGCCACTTGATGTATGGTTATATTTTTTAAAAGAGCAAACCAAAAATTGGGACAGAATCACCTGTCGTTTTCAGAACTTCTTTTCAGAACTCTGATGCCCAAGCCCCGCATCAAACCTGTAGAATTCTGAAATCTATAGGAGTGAGGGTATTTGTACAAGCTCACAGTGTGGTTCAGAGAGCAGAAAGCTTGAGGACAACCCATTAAGAAAATGACTCTAAAACAGGATTCATTCACCACTGGGTGGCACCAGAATTTCAAAGATGAAAATTTCTACTCCGGCATAGTTTGCTTTGAGAGTACAGTAAGCATATTTCCCTTTTCTCTCTATCCTCCACATCTCCCCAATTTTTTGAAAAGGGGTATATCACACCAACATAAATATTCCACTCAATATCAGTGTGGCACTTTCTCCTTGAATTTATTTAGGTTATAACAGTCTTGTTCTGCAGGGACCTTGGAGGGGGCTATTTCAGCACTGTCCCCCCTCTTTCCCTTCTCATCTTCCCTTCCAAGTGCAATGTCTGGAAGAAGAAAATCCACTGTGAGTACCGGCCTCAACAGCAAGGAGTGATTGGACAAAAAACAATTATATGACAAGTCCTGAAAGCCATATTTAGCCATTTGTAGTTTTCAATCCCTGCCCTTTCCCAAAAACCCTAACTTCAAAACTACACCAGAATCACATTTATCCTTTCCAAACTCCCACTGCCTCAGTGCAAAAGTATTTGACAACTTTTTAACAGCTTGGTCCTCTCTTCTTTCTCAGAGCTTTGGCACATTAAAAAATCCCATACAGATAATAATGTCATTTAAAAATTTCTCTGAATAGTCCATTTGTTTGAAATCTGCTTGAGGTCACTGTATGTAGCCTTGCATGCATTTATTTTTAAATGTGCACCGAACAGAAATGGCTGGAAAATATAACAAGACAAATAACATTTATTTTATCAATCCTATAAATATCTACTGAGCAACTGTATGTACCAGGCACTTTGATACATACTAGTGGGGAGATACGGGGTTGAACACAACAAGAAGATGGAAAGTCTCCTGGACTTATATTTCTAGTTGAGAGAAATATGGAGGGGGGTAGCAAATAAACAAATAAAATAATGAGAGTGACAACTCTTCCAAAAAGTAAAGCAGAATGAGGTGATAGTTTCGGCACAAGCTGGGATTAGTGTTGACAAGGTGGTCAGGGAAGGCATCCCTGAGGAGGTAGCATGTGGACCAAGAATAAATGATGATAAGAAGAGCCATCTAGGCAGAGAGTACGGCAAGGGCAGCAATCTGGGGTTGGACAAGCCTGGTACACGGCAGGTCAGGAAGGAAGCCAAGGTAGAGAAGCATCAGCCACATGAGGTTGGAGACATGAGCGAAGAAGACCTTGTCAAGGCCAGAGACCGCAATCTCCATATATATGAAATGGGAAATCACCAGAAGGTTTTAAGGAGGAAAGCAACATGGTCTTATTCATTTATTTATTTATGGTAACAGAACATTTAATTACATCAGTTTCCCATCAACACACTAGTCATTTAATGATGATTACACTGGCCATTTCTACTGGTTGACAGGAGGCTCTTCCACCAAAGGCTCCCGTGGTTTCCAGTGTATCATTTTTCTTGCCAGACTTACTTCATTTGCAGCCTCAAGTATCCCCTCTGGCCACCCTGAAGTTGGTCTTCTAATTTCTTTTTTTTTTTTTTTTAGATTTTATTTATTTGACAGAGAGAGACACAGTGAGAGAAAGAACACAAGCAGGGGGAGTAGGAGAGGGAGAAGCAGGCTTCCCACTGAGCAGGGAGCCCGATACGGGGCTCGATCCCAGGACCCTAGGATCATGACCTGAGCCGACGGCAGACGCTTAACAGCTGAGCCACCCAGGCGCCCCTGGTCTTCTAATTTCTTAACATCTGGCTCCACTTTAACCAGACTCCACTTCTCATTTGCAATCTGTTTTGCATGCGAGCCATAGGCTGCATTTTTAGGAATTTGCTCAAGAACATCAAGAGTCTTTGTGTACAACATTGTTAGCCATTTGTGTGGACTCTCACATATAACCAATCGCACCAGGCAGGCGGTCTTCCTCAGCAAACCCACCGTGACAGCACCTACATATTTATTTTTTAGATCATCTCAGCTCCTGATTGCAAAGGGGACACAAATGGAAGCCGAGAGAACAACATGGCAGTAATTGTCTGCATGGGAGGTGATGGTAGCTTGACTAGAAATAGGCATAGCCATGGAGAGAAGTGGTCACATTCTGGAGTGTTCTGGCAGGACAGACTTGCTGATGGACTGCATATGGGGAATGAGGGCATGAGAGAAATCAGCAACACCTCAATTCCTGTTTGATCAATGAAGTAGATGGGGAGACCAATTATGAAGGGTAAAACAGGCAAGAAAAGTCTAGAGGAAAACTCTCAATTTAAAACACTGGTTTGGGGCGCCTGGGTGGCTCAGTTGGTTAAGTGACTGCCTTCGGCTCAGGTCATGATCCTGGAGTCCCGGGATCGAGTCCCGCATCGGGCTCCCTGCTCAGCAGGGGGTCTGCTTCTCCCTCTGCCCTCTGCCCTCTCGTGGTCTCTGTCTCTCATTCTCTCTCTCTCAAATAAATAAATAAAATCTTTAAAAAAATAAAAAATAAAAAAAAATAAAACACTGGTTTGGTCACACAAAGTTTGAGATGTTTATTTAGTATGGGAACAGTCAGAGGGGAATTGTGAGAGTTAACAGTCATCAGCATATGATACTATTTAAAGCCTGGATAATATCCTATCATATCCTATAAATATCATATCATATAAATATTATTTAACAGCTGGATAATATCACCTAGAGAATGTGTACAGATAGAAAAGAGTATCAGGGACTGAGCCCACTGACTCTACATTGATGCTGTCCTGTTCCTCTCTCAATAAGACTGTACTGGTTATGGAAAAAAATGATGTCATTAAGATCAATATTGGTGAGAATAATAATATTCCATATGGTATTGCAAAAAATAAATAAGGGGGTGGCTGGGTGGCTCAGTTGGTTAAGCGACAGACTCTTGATTTTGGCTCAGGTCATGATCTGGGGGTCATGAGATCGAGCCCCACATCAGGCTCTGCACTGGGGTGGAGTCTGCTTAAGATTCTCTCTCACTCTCCCTGTGCCCCTCCGCCCTCCCACTCACACGCAAGATTTCTCTCTCTCTCTCAAAAAGAAAAGAAAGAAAGAAGGACTACATAAAATATCTAAGTGTCTGACAGTGTAGACAATCAAGAAAATATGATTTTTTTTTTCCTATTTCCTTCCTGGGTAAAAAATGGACTTGGCAGTAAATTGCAATAGAATCAAAATCTTTCTATTAGTTCAGATGTCTTTGCAGCCATAGGAAGTCATGGTAATCATCTGCCTCCACATTTCCAAAATGAGATTCTTCCTATAGGGTCTTAAGAGGTTTCCAGGATCTCTATTAAGCCTGAGTTAATAAAGTTGAACAGATTTCTCGAATGCAGACCTTCACAAAGGTCTTTAAGGGACAGACCTTGTATGCAGCATTTCCTGACTTTCACAAAGGCCAGAGAAATCGTCCACAGAGCACAGTTTAGGAAAACACTGACTGGCTCCATGCACGTATTTTATAGATGAGAAAACTGAGCACAAAGGGGATAAAGTCACCTGGCCTGGAGCTTGTTATAAAACCTACCGTTACTATGAAACTGCTTGCCCCAACTTTCCCATCTGAGTGCCTATTCCTGCTATTTTCCTTAAAGATGAATCAATGAGTTAATGAGGGGTCAACAATAGGCTTCCCAGGTTGATAAGATGCCCCTGGTAGGCCTCAGGTTCCTTCCTGGGTCTGAAGGGCTCACGTGTGATTTATGAGGACCGGCCTAAGAATCACTATGTTACATATCCCTACCAAGAAAAGGGAGACAGATTTTCCATTTTTTTCTAAAGTACAAACTATTACTATATTTATGGCTTTGCTTCCAGTCATGTGTGTGACTTTGGATCCATCCACATCATGTCAAATCTCTGAACTTCCATTTATCTGGCTGTTAACAATAAGGGCAGTAAAATGAGAGTTAATATTTGCTAAAGCTTTGGCCCATAACACAAAGTTTCTAAATCAGCAGAAACTATCTCTACCAGTGATCAAAAGAACCGTGGACTAACTTTCTTAAAAGCCTTATCTTCCCCATCACCGTTTTGCAGAAAAGAAAACTAGAGTACACAAATACTAAACCCTTAGTGGGTCAGAGGGCCTAGTGCCTGAGGCATGAGCAGGGTTGGAGGTCAGATTTGTTGGTGCAGCCCCTTCAATGCAAAGCCCTCCAGTGTAGCTCATGGAGCGGTCAGAAGAAGGACTTCCGTAAAAAGACCTGAGAAGTGGCACCTGGGTGGCTCAGTCGTTAAGCGTCTGCCTTTGGCTCAGGTCATGATCCCGGGGTCCTGGGATCGAGCCCCACGTGGGGCTCCCTGCTCCGCAGGAAGCCTGCTTCTCCCTCTCCCACTCCCCCTGCTTGTGTTCCCTCTCTTGCTGTGTCTCTCTGTCAAATAAATAAAATCTTCAAAAAAAAAAAAGACCTGAGAAGAGCTAGCGGTGGGTACAGCCAAACAGGGGAGTGGGAGCACTACCCGAGAGGGTGGGTATGATGGTTTGGGGATGTCATGTCAACAGTTTGTAGGTCCACCAACTACAGCTTTGAGATCTTTAATACATGTCATCTACCTGATTTTAAAACTGTTTTTTCTTATTTCTAATGATAATCGGCTTCTGAAGTATATGGGACTATTATCCCACGAAGATTCCACTGCACTCCCTAAGTTCCCCATCGTCACTTACTGAAACTGATGACACTCTCAAAGTACATTCATTTAGCTCAAACGGCTGACAACAGTTAAAAAATAATAGCCTATGGGAGGAGCTTCTATCATCTTATCCTATTAGTATTATGAATATAGGATGTGAAGTAGTTAGCTATGACTGCATAACCATCTCAGAACATATGGGTTTAAAAAGCTATTGTTTCGGGACGCCTGGGTGATGCAGTCGGTTAAGTGCCTGACTCCTGGTTTCGGCTCAAGTCGTGATCTCAGGGTCCTGGGATCGAGCCCAGCTTCTGGTTCCGCACTCAGCGTGGAGTCTGTTTGAGATTCTCTCTCCCTCTCCCTCTGCCCCTTCTGCTCATGCACTCTCTTTCTAAAGTAAATAAATAAATCTTTTTTAAAAAATAACTTGTTTCTCAGGAGGCTACGGGTTGGCAGGTAGTTCTACTGATCTAGTTTAGCCAGATTTTTGCAGGCTCAGGCTGTGGCAGATGGCAGGTCCACTGGGAGCCGAGTGCTCCATGATGGCTAAAATGACTCAGCTCTCCTCCATGTGGCCTCACATGGAGCATGCCCCAAACTCAGACATGTTGTCATGGTGACCAGAGGGAAGCCAGAGAGGAAGCAGAAACATGCAAGGCTTCTTGCGGTCTACACTAAGAATCATCACATCATCACTTCTACCGCACTGTACTGGCCAAATCAAGTCACAAGACCAGCCCAAGTTAGGGTGGGCAGGAACTACAAGGTTACTGGACAGGGATATGGATAGAGGACATTAAATTAATTGAGATCATCGATGCCTTCAATCTAACACAGGGTGGAAGGGCAAAATTTGATTCAAAGAGTAGAAAAGGGAGGATAGAGAATAAAAGTTATCTGCATTCTTAATAATCTCATGCCTGGAAATCTCATTCTGTTATCGAGGCCTCAAACTCAAGCAAACTGGACTCTTCGTATGTAAATCTTCGTCTCAGTTTTTTCTATGCAAGTAAATCATCTACAGAGATGATTGTGTTTTACAATGGTCTCAGATTAAAATTCACGAAATACTTAAAATATTTTATCACTTGAGTTCAGCCCAATAATTGTTTGGATTTTTGTTTGATACAGAATTAAAAAAAAAAACTTTAACGTCCTTTTTTTATTCTTCTAATTAATGAGCAACTGTAGTATTTGCATTAGTGATATGGTGGAACACCTAAAAAGAAAGAAAAATAAAAAAGATTAACTTCACTGTGAAAGAGCCTTCTCTAGTATGACAGATTTATCATCAGTCAATATTTATATTTGAACCCCCACTGTGAGCAAAGAACCATGACGAATACAGTACAAAACACATTTCTTTAAAAATATACTCTGAAAAAAACAAATAAAATAAAAATAAAAGTATCTTCTGATTATAGAAAGTGCAGATGAGGCAGGGGTGATAAAAAACACTGCTAATATCATTTAACAATGAATATCAAAGCTGTTGTGTTGGGCATATTTTTTTTAAGATTTAATTTTTTATTTGGCAGAGAGAGAGAGAGAAGCACAGCAGGGGGAGGGGCAGAGGGAGAAGCAGGCTCCCCACTGAGCAGAGAGCCCAAGGTGGGGCTCCATCCCAGGACCCCAGGATCATGACCTGAACCGAAGGCAGATGCTTAATTGACTGAGCCATCCAGGAGCCCCGGGCATGTTTAATTTAAAGAAGGTCTAGTCATGCAAACAGGAGGAAGCTGAAGCCCATTTAGGGAGAATGAGGGAGGAATCTCTGAGGTAGCACATACTCAATATCTTCTAAAAGGAGGAAAGACAACAAGATTGGAATAAGACCTAGGTCCCCATGAGTAAGGGGTCAGTGTAAGTGACCCACACCAGCATCAACATAAGATGAAGTTCTTGAGGCGAGAAGGTAATGTGATCTTAGGAATCACAAAGAATGTCGCTGTGGTCATTTACTGAACCACACATGTGTGTTTCAGGTGTGGCTGATCACGTCTGTCTGAGCAGAGTCTGAAAGAGAAACCTTCTGTTGGAGCTCTTAGTATAGTGAGGGAAGAACAGGCCACTTGGCTGAAAGGGCTGTCACTGGCCAGATCAGGAGTAAACTCCAAGTTCCTTCCTGGTACTCCCCAGAGTTTCTTGGAGATCAGGTGGCCTCTAAAAGATGTGGAAAAGGGAGCAGGCCCTGCCAACAAGGAGGATCATCCAGCAGAACTTTCGAGCACAGATCATTTTCTACAAGAGCCTGCTCCAGAAGAGGGAAGTGAAGCCAACGGACCCAGACCAGGAATTGTAAGTGTCAGGTCTCAGACCTAGGGCGGGGGGAAAAACAGACGAGAAGGGACTGCTGCCTCTTTGTATAGAAAAGGTCTCTTTAGCATCTCAAGGACAGGAAGCCTCCATGTGACCGGAGGTCTGTGGTTGCCCACCTTTATCATCAAGGGCTGGAGAAAAAACAAGAGTGATCCCACACACTTTAGGAACCTAGGACATATTAACTTATGACACAAGTGTATTTTGCTTATAGGGTTATTGCATAGAAGAACTGGCAGGGTTTGAGGGTTTTCATGTTATTCAAGCTGAAAAAAGAAAACTCAAGCAGAGGGGGACAAGAAGCAATGCTAGGAAAGCCTTGAAAAGCATAGTTGCAATCCAGGACTCAGTTTGTTCAAGAGAACTCAGGATTTTCCAGTGAAGGGAAAATGGGATAGAAGGAAAGAAGGAAGGAAGGAAGGAAGGAAGGAAGGAAGGAAGGAAGGAAGGAAGGAAGGAAGGAAGGAAGGAAAGAAAGAAAGAAAGAAAGAAAGAAAGAAAGAAAGAAAGAAAGAAAGAAAGGAAAGAAAGAAAGAAAGAAAGAAAGAAAGGAAAGAAAGAAAGAAAGAAAGAAAAAGAAAGAAAGAGAAGAAAGGAAAGAAAAGAAAGAAAAGAAAGAAAAGAAAGGGGAGGGAGAGCACCAAATCCTAACCACTAGACCACCAGGGAGCATCAGAAGGAAGGAAGGAAGGAAGGGAGGGAGGGAGGGAGGAAGGAAGGAAGGAAAAAATACAATTAAGAAAAAAGAAAGAAAATGGGATTATAACACACTTGCACTGTCCTGTCACACTTACCGTGTCGACCTGTAAGTTTTGGTTTTAAGTTCCTTTTAATCTAGAAAGATAGGTTTGGTTTTAGGTTAGATTTCTTTGACTTCCTTATAAGCAGGCACGATGGTTGGGGCTTTTGGTCTTTTGACTTCTGCTTTGTTTTCTACTTTAGATTTAGCAAAACTGCTAGCAGAGTACCAATTATATGTAGAGGAATTTAATTTTTTAAAAATTCCTCAGGAGTTCCAACTATAATTGCTCCAAGAGTCCTGTCTTAAAAAGAAAGAGAATTTTATAGGCAGGTTGTTAGGCTCAGCCCAGACCTAGAGCAATCAAGAGAAAGCCTCCAGAAACCCATTTAAAGGCATCACCATGGGTACACACAAACACTGTGAAGACACTGTCCATGACACGCGACGGGGGAACAGAAAATATAATGTAAAATGTAAATGGATTGAGGGGACAAGGAACCATGTGCTTTACTTTACTTCCAGGAGACTGTGTGTAAATAATTGAAAGACACAGGGCTTTGGATTCCACAATCCTGCCCTGAATCCCAGCTCTGCAGCCGTTTCACTGAATGTGTGGACTAGGAAAAAGAGACAATGTATTTTGAGTTTGGTTATCTTATCTTCAAAATGGTGAGAAACATACCTATTCCCTAGCGTTATTAAGAGGATTAAGTAAGTTTCTCTGTGTAAAGTGCCAGGCATATAGAAATTTAACAATGATTAAATTCCCTTCCAGTCTTTATCCTCTGCCCCTAGAAACCCAACAAAAACACTAGAACACAGTTTCACAGATAAACAGCCTATGTCTCCGCAGCCATCAAGAGATGGTTCAGTCCAATCACCAAACTCCACCTTAATTTACAGCGTTTTCATGGGTGTGTCAAGCAGAGGTAGAATTCAAACTCTGGTTTACCAGAAATCTCAAAATGACATCTGAGCTGTCTGGGCTAAATGCTCACTGTGCCTGTGGGGGAGATGGTAAGCATCTGGATCTGTATTTGAGTCTCAGCCTTGTCACTCACAAGCTAGGAGACACGGGATGAGTTCATTAAACTCTCTGAGCCTCAGCCTTCTCCTCTGCAAAATGAGGACGATACCTCTCTTCCAGACTCACCTCCGGTACTGCACACAAGCGTGTTAGGAAGCCAACCACCATCACCACAAACATGGTGGCCTTTCAAAAATTCTGCCCCAAAAAACAAAAAACAAAAAAACGAAACAAAACCTGCCCATTGGCCACCCGACTGGGTCGTCTTCTGCATTGTTTGATAACTAGTAGAGAATATTTTTTGTTTATTAGCCATGTGCATTTTTTCTTCCACAAATTAATTGCACGCTTATGACCCAACTCGTATCTTAAAAGATCCTATGAGCTCAATTCTCAAGACCAAACCATTACAGATAACACTGTCTCTGTCCCCTTCCGAAGTCAGCCCAGCTGCTCTTCACTGTTTTAAAACCTTGGGGGATGAATGGCAAATTGAAGACATGTAATCAACAGTAACACAGAAATGCATTAGTATATGAATCTCTATCTCTCTGCCTGTCCTTAAGTGATGGTAATTCATGCTCTTCTAAATGCCTTGGAGATTCTGTAGAGAGGCATCATTATTAGTGTTCTTTGTTATTACCATTGTTACAAACAGGTGAAATAAACAACCATCTAAAAAACAGAATGTCAAGGGGCACCTGGGTGGCTCAATTGTTAAGCCTCTGCCTTGGCTCAGGTCATGATCCCAGGGTCCTGGGATCGAGCCCCACGTTGGGCTCCCTGCTCAGGGGGGAGTCTGCTTCTCCCTCTTCCACTCCACCTGCTCTCCCTCTCTCTCTTTTTCTCTCTCTGTGTCAAATAAATAAATCTTTAAAAAATAAAAATAAAAAACATGATGTTGGGATTATCAAGAATGATAGAGGGAAAATACTAAAAACTCTGGCCCTGGATTTACATAGAGATGCATAAAAAAGATAAAAGTCCATGTCTTCAAAAGGAACAGTGATGTAGAATAAGTCGCTAATTATATTGTTAAAAGTAATCAGTTAGCCAGAGACAAATCCTAACATTTGTGGTCAATTCATTTTCAACAAAGGGGACAAGACAATTCAATAAGAAAAGAACAGTCTTTTCAACAAGAGTGCCAGCAAAAACTGGCAAAGGAGTCAAGTACCAGGACAATGTACAAAAGAATGAAGCTGGACCCCTACCTCACAACACACATAAGAATCAACACAAAATAGATCCAAGACCTTCTGCTTACATAAATGTTAAAACTATAGTACTCTCAGAAGAAAACATAGGAGGAAAGCTTCGTGAGCTCAGGTTAGGCAATTATTTCTTAGGTCTGACACCAAAAGCACAAGTGATAAAAGAGAAGACTGATAAATTGGACTTCATCAAATTTAAAAACTTTGTGCCTCACTATCACCAAAGTGAACAGACAAAACCTATAGAATGGGAGAAAATATTTGCAAATCACATTTCTGAACAGAGACTTATATCCAGAACACATAAAGCATACAGCTCAATAATAAAAAGACAACCCAGTTTGAAAATGGGCAAAGTATTTGAATCAGTTTTTCTCTAAAACAGGTATGCAAATGGCCAATAAGCACAGAAAAGATGCTCAACATCATTAGTCATTAGGAAAATGCAAATCAAAAACATAATGAGATACCAGTTCACATCCACCAGAAGGGCTATAAGCAAAAAGAAAAAAAAATAGTAAATGTTGGCAAGGCATACGGAGCAATTGGGACCCTCATCTATTGCTGATTGGAATGCAAAATAGTGCAGCCACTTTGGAAAACAGTTTGGCAGTTCCTCAAATAGTTAAACATAGCAATTTCACTCCTAGTTATGTAACCAAGACAACTGTGCATACAAAACGTGTATACACATTTCCATAGCAGCATTATTCATAATAGCTAAAAACTGGAAACAATCCAAATATGCACCGACTGAAACATGGATCCATAAAATGTGGCATATCCATACAATGGAATACTATTTGATCATCAAAGGGAAGTACTGATACATATTACAACAGGATAAAACTTGAAAACACGGTAGGCGAGGGATGCCTGGCTGGCTCAGGAAGTAAAGCATGCAACTCTTGATCTTGGGGTCATGAGTTCAAGCCCCACATTGGGTGTGGAGCCTACTTAAAAAACAAAACAAACAAAAACAAAAAACCAAAAGTATGCTAGGTAAAGGAAGCCAGTTACAAAAGATCACATATAGTATGATCCCATTTAGATGAAATATCCAGAATAGATACTTTCTGTCTCTATATGAAGTGTTTCATCCATAGACACAGGAAACAGTGATTGCCCAGAGCAGAGAAGCAGGGAGGTAGGAGGATGGAGAGTTACTGCCAATGGGTACAAGGTTTCTTTTTGAAGCAATGAAAATATTCTAAAATGAGAGGATGGTAGTGGTTGCATACCTCTGTAAATATGCTAAACATCACTAAGTTACATACATTAAACAGGTGGACTTTATGTTATATAAATTCTATCTTAAGCTATTTTTTAAATCCTCAAAAACAGTTACTTTAACTGAGACCCTCTGATTTTATTCTAAATGCTGGTAACAATAATTATAACAGCTTACTGAGTGCTTATTATGTGCCAGGCAATATTCAAAATCTTTACAAGGACTAATTCACTTTTCTGAAAACCTGTTAGGCAAATACCATTATTATTCCCATTTTACAGATTAGAACACTAAAGCTATTAAGTAGCATCCTAAGAATTCAAACATAGAGAGTCTGTGTTTTTAAATAAAATATGGACCTGGCCCTGTAATCCAACAGCAAAATATGGGGAAGAAATCCCTGAAATTCAGAGAGTTGGGGAAATCTTAAAATATTATAACAAACAGGGGCGCCTGGCTGGCTCAGTGGGTGCAGCGTGCAATTCTTGATCTCAGGGCTGTGAGTTCAAAGCTCACGTTGGGTGTAAAGATTACTTAAAAATTTTTAAAAATCTTTAAGGGACACCTGGGTGGCTCAGTCTGTTAAGTGGCTGCCTTCAGCTCAGGTCATGATCCCAGGGTCCTGGGATCGAGCCCCGCATCGGGCTCCCTGCTCAGCGGGAAGCCTGCTTCTCCCTCTCCCAATCCCCCTGCTTGTGTCCCCTCTCTCACTGTGTCTCTGTCAAATAAATAAATAAAATCTTCAAAAAAAAAAAACCACACATATTGAGTAAATGTTGGTTATATTTCCAGGATTACCAAGCTATTCTGACAATCCTTTAGAGTAAGACATAATTTTGATAATGCTAACAGTGTCAGTGGTGCTTATCTCTGGAGACTGAAGATTATAGGGGCTTGCTTAATTTTCTTTTTTATATTTTGTGTATTTTGTTTTATAAAAAGTGTATTTTAAAAAACTATGGCCCAACATTATGAATGTAGTTAATGGAACTAAGCTGTGCACTCTAAAACAATTAAGATATTATGTATATTTTGCCACAATAAAAAATACCAAAAAAATCCATTATGGAGACACTAAAAATAATACAATGTTCATATAGATATTTCTCTGGAAATAATTGTCAATTTGTATAAAATCAAACAAAGGCAGAATAGACGAGAACTATGCAGGAGGTCTAAAGATACTGATACTTAAATCAAAGAACACAGTTTCTTCAATCTGGTAACTCTGGAGCTAAATTCATACATTTTGCCAAATACTGCAGCTGGGATGTCTGAATGTCTGAAGTGCTGTGAGGAAGTCAGCTCCTACAACCTCACAAGAATTAACTGTCAGCATCTCTTCCCAAAGCCACATTCAATGGCACCACGTTGGTAGCTTAAAACCAGCCATGGTGGGAGCATTTACACTCTGGCAAATGCTACAAATCAAAGCTTTGCTTTTCCTCGAAAATCAGCTGACCAGCACATTGCTGTTTAAATTATAAAAATGTAAATTGACAGAAATGTATACTAACAGAATGCCTAAAATCAATGATCTCAACTCATTTTGTAAATTTAAATACAGTGAGGAGCAGTGAAAAACATACCCAAGTGAGTGGCGGAGCAGGAATAGGAACCTGGGTTTCCAAATTTCCTTCCCTTACATCATAAAGACCAAATGCCCAAAGACAAAGGTTCCCCACCCTTTACCTAACCGAACACCAGCAGGCATATCAGGTCCATATTTCTGGACTTCAGAACGGCTGGATATAATAACCAAAGATTATCATCATTGCACAAGACTAATTTCTGGAACTACGGACCTTGTTTCACTGAAGAAAGAAAAACATTCTGGGGCACCTGGGTGGCTCAGTCAGTTAAGCATCTGCCTTGGGCTCAGGTCATGATCCCAGGGTCCTGGGATCTAGCCCTGCATTGGGCTCCCTGCTCAGCAGGGAGCCTGCTTCTCCCTCTCCCTCTGCCTGCCACTCTGCCTACTTGTGCTCTCTCTCTCAAATAAATAAATAAAATCTTTAAAAAAATTTTTTTAAAAAGAAAAAAATTCTTACAGTGAAAATTCAGTGAGTCGAGTTTAAGGAGCTAGAGCTAGAGAAGACTTTCAACATTATGTAGGCTGGGGGTTTAGAACCCAAAAGCATATTTTGAGAACCCAGTGAATCAAAGCAGGCAGAATGAGCAATTGGGGAGAGCTGAGGACAGAGGCAGACTGCAGAGATCAGCCCCACCACAAGGGGACACTATTACTTAGTATCTGTCAACTATTACCACACGGATCCTATTTTTTAGGCAAGGTCAGATAACAATGTTCTATATGAAATGTTTAAAAAACTTCTAATTATGAAACATGGCAAAGGCCAAAGAGAAGCTGTCAGCAGGCCAAATCTAGCCTAATATCTTTCATTCGGTAGAAGAGAAAGAAGTCCAGAGATGTTAACTCAACTTACCAAGTGAGAGAGCCCAAATTCATTGTTCTGTTTTCTAGTTCACAAGCTCTTCACAATCTCTACTGATAAAGATATAACATGTGACTTATTGGAGAGCATCAGCAAAATAAGACATTTGAATCACTGGTGGTCTTGCTTCAAACTGCTTGCTAATTGTCAGTTTCTGTGTCTTGTTAGGTTTCCATAATCTCAGTTTCCATGGGAGGAGATAATAAAGTCTCTGCTATCTTTATTTTAGTTGTATTCTACTTACTATCATTTTTTTTGCCAGTGTGTATGCTCTTTTTATAGCTATATTTATATAAATGTCCTACACCAGTTGTTTATCTTTGATCGCCTGGCCTTTGTTTTAATCTTCACACACAAAAATGAAAGCTGAGGCAAAGGCTAGGAATGCCTTGAGCAGAGGCCATGTCTAAACAATTGAAGGGGTCAAACGGTGGTAGTTCGGTGCCTGCTGATGTGGATTACTATCCAGCAGTCAACTACCATTAATCTTAAAAATAAGGCATCAGAAGTCACATTTTTCTCTCTGTGGTCGTATGCCTTCAGAACCTCATTCCTGTTTGAACATAAGGTCCAAACATAATCTGGATGTCTTCTTTGGAGAAATGTTTGTTCCTGTCTCCTGCCCATGTTTTATTTGGATTATTTGGTTTTTTGGTGTTGAGTTATGTAAGTTCTTTATAACCAGTGGTTACCAGAGGGGAGTTAAGTGGGGGAATGGAAGAAATGGGTGAAGGAGATTAAGAATATACTTATGATTGGGGCGCCTGGGTGGCTCAGTCGTTAAGCGTCTGCCTTCGGCTCAGGTCATGATCCCAGGGTCCTGGGATCGAGCCCCGCATCGGGCTCCCTGCTCGGCGGGAAGCCTGCTTCTCCCTCTCCCCTTCCCCCTGCTAGTGTTCCTGCTCTCGCTCTCTCTCTGTCAAATAAATAAATAAAATCTTTAAAAAAAAAAAAAAAAAGAATATACTTACGATGTCGAGCACTGAGTAAGGTAAAAAATCACTGAATCTCTATATTGTACACCTGAAACCAATGCAACACTGTATGTTAACTATACTGGAATTTAAAAGAACAAAAACAACAACTTGAATGTCTCTGGGGAGAACATGCACACCGCCCCTTTCTACCACTTTCTGCTTGCTTCCATCCCCACCTCACAGTCTTACCTTTCTGGTTCTTGAAGGTATTTGAGTTTGTGACCCCTGGGTTCTAGACTTTCAGCACACCCCATCTTTGACACAATTTCTTATGATTAGGAATCAACTCAACATCTTACATAAGAGTTCAGCCAGTACTGTTTCAATGACTTCAGAGTTGCCTCCCATAGACTGGTAGCTGCCGCCTAAGTGAAATAACCTATCATCAGATGATTGCAGTCATTTTCAACTTTCAAAGCTTCATCTACGTGGCCATGAAATTCAGCATTCATCTGTTTATTCCTATTACCTGTAAGATAAAGCTTGACCTAGCCACTGGCATGCGAGGTCCTTCATCATTCAGCCTCTACCTAAGTGTTCAAAGCTACTACCTTCTTCACCAACACAGTCTCCCCTTACACACACACACACACACACACACACACACACACACAGCTGGCCCGTGTACTTACTCGCTGGCTTCTCTCTCTGCTTTTCCAACCTCTCCTCACTCTTCAGAGTTTAACACAAACTCCACCTATTCCTGTAGGCTTTTCTAAATCATCCCAGATTCGAAAGATCTTGCCTCCTTTTAAATGTAAATAAACATAGTCTCACTTCCATTTAAATGCTCAATAAACATTTGGTAAATGAATGAATGAATTCCAGCACGACCACATTCTTAGGGCCACTTAATCATGGCCAAGTTGCTTAACGTTTTTAAGATACAGTTTCATCATCTGTAAAAATGTGGTTTGGACAAGAAGAGACTGAGATATTGTTTTGAAATTATCTAGCAGAGATGCTACAGAGACTCAAAAGATATTAGGCAGTATCAGCCTGATTTACTGCCTCCCTCCCTCCTGAGTTAATTAACTTTTCCACTATGTATGGTGTCTCTCCCTAGTTACATTATTGGATCAAGAACCCATTTCTTATAATTTTTTTCTGTCATTCACAGTGGCTAGCATGGAGTTTTGCTAATAAAATATTGTTGATGAGTCAATAGCTTCTCTCTTGAAAAATATGTCCAAAGATTGGTGACACTGGAATTCCCTCCTTTAGAGACATTCTCTCACAAGTTAAGCATTGCCCCACCTAAAATCCAAACCTGCCTGGGAGACAGTAACAAATAATGTTGCATTAACATATAGTTATTAATATATGCACTGGTGATACTTTTTAGTTTACAAGGAGCAGAAACCAGCTTGCAGATTGTTGCTAGTATGCGAAGTATGATACGGGCTTGTTTAACCCAACACCTTAGTAGAACTTACTTTATTTGATGTCTTTCCAACACAACTGCAACACAGAAATAAGGGGGACAAGAACAATACAGATACGGCACTATAGAGGAGGACAAGGAGCGAAGCGGGATGCAGGTAGCATCAGAATTGCAGCAAGATGGCACCAGGAACCACGGTGACCAGCTGTCATGGTTTGCCTCGCTGGTTATCAGCTGGTTAGGGCAAAGAGCTCACAAGGCCAAGGCTAAAGGTGTGATTTCCTAGGAAACTTTGCTCTCTTCCACGGTCAGAGTCCGTGTGCTTCACTTGAGCCAGCCGTCCTCCAATGTCACTGACCAATCACAAGGGGAATAAGGAGAGAGAAAGCGCAGCTACTTTGGACCAGATCCTTCGCCGCTGCTAGGAATGTTGGTGGAGGGACGCTGATGTTCTCCTTGGGCACGAACACTGAGTGAGGGAATAATGTCACACAAAAAAACTCTCCTTGTGAGCTTCCTGCTTTATATGGGTCTGAAATAACAATAATATGTAGCAGAATCTCCTCGATTTCATTCTAATATTGTGAGGCAGGCCTGGCAGAGAGCAAGCTCAGCAGGTCTGGTCTGGGATCCCCTACGGTTCCAGAGCCAGAAAGCAGCAGAAATGCTGCTGGAACCCTCACGTCCTAGCGATTCTCTGTCTTTGTGGTGGTGGCGGCGGCGGCCGTGATAGAGGTCACAGCTGCCTGTGACCCAGCAAAATACACAGCCTGAATGTTGAGCTTGACTTTGTACGTTTTCCTTCCATCTGAATTCCAGAACTCTTCAGGTCCCAAGAACCACGCGGGGCAGCCCGAAAGCTCTCGTGCATCTTCCCAAACATCAGCTGTGGCATGCTTGTGGGCTGATTATTTCCTGCATGTGTAAAGGCTTTACAAAGCTCATCCACATTCTCCACCCTGTTGCTCAGGCCCAGGGGATCCAAGAAAAGCATCCCCACTTTAAATGTTTAGATGCTGCAAGATTCTGCACCTCACTCTTTCACGTCTTTACCTTCCCGTGGACTTTTCTGCCTAAATCCACAGTTGTGCGGTGTTCATATTGGTAAACTGAAAGGTGCATTTCTCAAACACATTTATTTTTCCTTTAGAACAAGTGTGGGTAGGATGAAAACCACTCTGTGTCATACTTACATGTTACTCATTAACTGACTTAAAAAAAAAAACAGCCTCAGCTAGATTAGGAGTCATGTGAAGAAAGAGTTTCCTGCAATGTGGGAACGGAGCAAAGCTAAAACGCAGAGTTTTTCACATGATTGGGGGGATTCAGAAATGAGCCCTTGAGCTTGTTTCCTGACTTGGTGATCAACACGCGCACAATGGTGAAGAAAATTCTGTTTCCCAGCGACCCAGTATTCCAGTTTGACATTCCAGGCAGCCCAAGAAAGGCAAGCACCGAGGCCCCACACAGCTCTACAGACAGCCCCGGCTCTGTGTTTCTCAGGTGGGTACATCCTATGGGTCGCCCCGGTGGCCTCAGCCACCCGACAGGTGTTCCTTGGAGAGCTCCGTCCCCATCCCCAGAGGCCGCAATCTGCCGAGGGGAAGGAGAAAGCACAGCCTAGGCATTTGGGCCAGGGGAGAGAGGGGGTACAGAGCAAAGAATGTGACTTGCTAAGCAAACAGAACTATTACCACTACTAAGGGAAAATAATGGTTAGTGCCTTATTTAGGACGTCTTTAGTACTGGGTGACTGGCCAACTCTGCCCTTTTTTAATTCTTGATCACTTTCAGGTTCATAGGAAATGAAGTCAAATAGTTGAGCCAAAAACTTACTTGGGTGTCAGAATTACCTGTTATTATCAAAAGAGTAAATGTGGGGGCTTTCTAAATTAATTATCAAAATAGTATTAGCTGTACTGTGGGTTCAACTACTTATTCTACAGTGATTTAGAGCAGCTTTGGCCTGATTGAGAACACACTCTTTTTTAGCTATAAATATTAATATCTATATAAACGTCACTCTGATTACATATTTTTTAAATTTTTATTTATTTATTTGAGAGAGAGAGAGAGCACAAGCAGGGGGAGCGGCAGAGGGAGAGGGAGCAGCAGGCTCCCCGCTGAGCAAGGAGCCCGGTGGGGCTCGATCCCAGGACCCCGGGATCATGACCTGAGCCGAAGGCAGACGCTTAACCGACTGAGCCACCCAGGTGCCCCGATAATTACATATTTTTAATAAATTCAGGTTATCAACTCTTTATTCATTTTGGCCTCCTAATAATTCTCTAGGAACTTACAAAATGTAGAAATCAAATCCAAATGGAAATCAATTACAAGGAAAAGTTTCTCACCCAACTTTGATGTAAACTTTAATGTTACTTCCATGTGAACCTCCCAAGTGAAGCCAGAAAAATGACCTCCACCCTGGAAGTTTACTTTTACACAACACCGTAGCCAGAAAGTTGACCATTTCTTTTGTTTTTTCACCATTTTAAATCATTTATACAAAAAGGTGCTCCTCAAAATTACAGCTTTTAAAAATTAAATGGAAACCAAGAAATCCCATTTCATTTAATGGTGTTTGCATATCAGAATGTCAGGTTACAAAAATAAGTGAAATAATTTTAAAAAGAAGTTTTGGGGACAAAGAGCCTGAATTTATGCTAAATGTTGCATAATACCTCTATTTTTAGGTTAGCTTAGCTTTTCCATACATTATGAAAATGAATCTGACTTGCACTGTCTGAGCAAGAGCACCACTCCTGTGATTGAGAATGTAAAACCTCTGTATTATTTCCATATTTTGCTGAATTTCGAATGTTTCTCAAATCATTTTGTCTGCTTAATCCACCTCTTCTGTAGATAATGCCAACTCTTCTAGGAACTCAAGGTGTAATCAGGAAAAACAAAATTAAACTGCAAAACAAAAAAATATTTAAAATATATAAAATACAGAAAGTATAATTTAAATAAACATACATATTATTTCAATAAATTTAAATAAATAGAATAAAAATAAAATAAAAACCTGCATCAACCTAAATTCAAGCCTCTTTCAAAAACAGCCCAGGCCTATTTTACCTACATATTAGAATACTCGATATCAAATGTCTATATTAGTATCTATAAATGGTTTTTTTTTAATGTGTATTGGAACCCATCTAAAAACATTACATGTATCTCCAAACAGTTTGGGCACTGAAGGACTTTCTTTTTGGTTGAAAAATCTACTTAATGTATTATATATTAAATCATTCAAAATATATCGTGGAAGCATTTAGACACATGTTGGTTAATTATTTGAGGTAAAAAATAACACCAGGTAAACACTTCCCTTTACCTTCTAAAGAAATACTAAGAATTTATGTGGCTGATGTGGTATCCCATTATCATCTCCCAAACCAGAAGTAATAAAATGTACTCTGAGATCAACAAACCACTTCAAATAGGTACAATTTATGCAGTGCTCTTATTCAATCATTCAACAAAGATTTATTAAGTGACTATCATATGCCAGGCTATGTGGAACATACAATGGACAATCATAAGCCAGACAAACCTACTGTCTACTTTCAAAGAGGTTATTAGTTTAATGTCAAAGAAAGGCTAAAAAATTATGAATGCATGAATGCATACACCCATATATACATAATTCTTAT